AACAAAAAGCCAAACATGCAAAATTGCACACAAAAAAATCCGCGAAACAGCGAGGCCACGAAAAGTGAACCGCGATATAACGAGGGACCACTGTATGTTTTTTGTTTTTGGGCTTGCCGCTTCTTTTGTCTTTTTTTTGTGAGGACACACACTGCACACCATGCTGTTGCAGGTTTTGAGCTGATAGATCTTCGGGAATCATCTTGTTGTTGCAAAAATACCAATTTATGCATTTCTCTGAAAACTGTCAGCTACAAGGACTGAAAATGATTGAAAAAGCAGCCAACATCGTAAAGAAAAACTAAAGAAAAAGTAAAACTTAACAAATAAAAGGTGGAAAAGTCACTGGTTTGCCACTTTTGGCCATTGTTATCTTATTTATTTGCAAACTGGATATGATGAGGGAGTTGTGGACCGTTCTTAGAACACAATATACAAAATCAAACCATACTGTGTTAGATAAGGCTTAAAACTAACAACTGAGACAATAAACCCGTTAGTAAAACTTTGTGTCCTTAGGTCGTACATTTTTCTGTACATACAGATATCTTTTTTTTTTTTAATCCAAGAAGTCTCCCCCCTATGGCTGTTAGAAAAAACCCAGGGTTAAGACACCGATACAGGCAAAACATACCTGAAGTAAGGGATAACACAGGCCAGCACCAACTTGTGACAGTGTATCAACCTGCTGCCAACCTAGAAAAAGAAAAACAGAAAATACATGATACAAGCACACTTTGACATCATTAAATTAGGACTACACGATTAATCAAATTTTAATCTCAATCAAAACTAGTTTCCTTCAGTGATACTGAAAAATTCATGGAGCTTACAAACACTGACTGAAATCACAGACACAACTGTATTCTTTTTGGCTAAAGTGCGTCCACTAAACATGATGAGTAAATGGATGTTTCAGGAAAATAATCAACTTTACTACAAAACATATTTTATCCCCTCATAGAGTTATGTGTGGCGATAGCTGCACTATATACAAAATGAGGGACCTCACTGCTGTCAAATGCTTTGCTACAAGTTTTATTCACATCATGAAAATCCAATAAATAGAGTGAAACGTTAGCTCCTAGGGGATGCACTTGAGCCAGGTGAATAAACATCTTTCACAATGTAAAAGAGAAAGCAGTGCCTTGTGGATTTATCTTTGTCTTTTCTTTGCATTACAGTTTTCCTGTAAGGGCTGCACCCAAATCAGGTGGATAAGGGGGACCAATTTTATTTCGATACACAGATTTGTGTATTATTAAGAATGTAATATGGATTATATATTATAGTATTATACTTCCATGAAAGAGCAATAAAAATGTCTATTGCCATGGAAATCAATAAATTATCCTGACAAATAATCACGATCTCAATATTGATCAAAAATA